GACATGGCTATTCCAACAAGCGGGACTGGCCTAGGGCAATTTTAGAGGGGTTTTAATTATATTTTAATCAGACAATATTTAAATATTTCTTTTTAATTAATTTTAATTTTGTAATTGTTATTGGTGTTTTTTAATCGATTGTCAGCCGCCCTGAGTCCGCAAGGAGAAGGGCGGGATATAAATTCGAATAATAAATAAAATAAATAAATAAATAAATAAATAATAATAATAATAATAATGTTGGAAGGGACCTTGGAGGTCATCTAGTCCAACCCCTTGCTCAGGCAGGAAACCCTATACCATTTCAAATGGCTGTCCAGTCTCTTCTTAAAAACTTCCAGTGTTGGAACATTCACCGCTTCTGGAGGCAGGATGTTCCACTGGTTAATTGTTCTAACTGTCAGGAAATTTCTCCTTAGTTCTAGGCTGCTTCTCTCCTTGATTAGTTTCCATCCGGTTGCTTCTTGTCCTGCCTTCCAGTGCTTTGGAGAATAGCTTGACTCCCTCTTCTTTGTGGCAGCCCCTGAGATACTGGAACACTGCTATCATGTCCCCCCTCGTCCTTCTCTTCATTAAACTAGACATACCCAATTCCAGCAACCGTTCCTTATATGTTTTAGTCCTCATTCAAACTCTACTTCTGTGCTCTTGACTGCACTTCTGGCTTTCTTCTTCACTATCTACACAGCAATGCTTCTCAACTTTGGGTGCTTTAAGTTGTGTGGGCTTCAACTCCCAGAGTTCCCCAGCCAGCATGAAGTCCACACATCTTAAAATGCTCAAAGTTGAGAAACACTGGTCTACAGTCATACTCAGTTCCAACGCAGCTCTTTCTCTTTATCCTCCAGCACTTCCCCAGATAGAATGTGCTGTTTTGGCTTGTCTTATGCAAGTTGAGAAGTTATGGTTAATTATAATTAACATTTACCGTAATTATATGGTGAATATAATTAAACATTCATGACACACCTATCATCTCAGGGAAAGTATAATATACTCACTCACCTTGCAGTTTCCGACGATGGAAGCGTGGGGAACCAAGGAAGCTGTTCTTGATAGAGTTCAAGCGAGTTTTCCATGCCACGCCGGCCACACCAGGACTGCTGGGGGGCGTCCCGCAGGGAGTGCCGCTGGGGCTCTCTTTAGGCGTGTGCACAGGAGTGCCGAGCGGAGTAGGGAGGGGGCTTCCCCGAGGGGAGGGGTGGGGAGTGACCTGCAGCACAGATTTGGGTGGGGGTTTAGTAGAGGGGAAAAAGCAATGGGGAGAGGAGGGTGGGTGAAGGGGTGGAGAGTTGGGAGGCAGAGGGAAGGGGGTGGAGCATCGACTCTGGAGGGCCCCGTCCCTTGCTGGGCTGCCCTTGGCAGGAAGCGTCTGAGTCTTCACAGGGGCAGGGGGAGGTGATGGGAGAGAGAAGCTGAAGATGGGGCTCTGGGTGTGGGGAGAAATGGGAGGGGAGAAAGGTGAGAGCCGTGAGATGGGAGTGAGTAATGGCAGGTGACAATCTCATAGATATTAGAGTTTCACAACATGGCCCAGATTTTGAGTTTCCCCTACTGTCGCTTGGACATATTACTCATTTTTTAAGGAATCAACTTGCTTCAAGTTCACCTATCCTGTCTTGTCTATATGTCTTCATCCAGTCAGTCATGCTGTGGCAAAGACAACATCCATGATTCCACCACAAAACTATATATAATTGTCCCCTGAAGCAGGTCCAGACTTTGCCACTTAATTTTTTCTATATCACTTGTTTCCCAAACTGAGTTTGCCTTTCAACAAGACTAACTTTCTGAAACCTCTCCCAATTGGCCATTTTTCCTACGGAACGGCTACTGTCAACTCTAAACTTTTCCCCAGATAAATCTGAAAACTCAAACTGTTACCGTATAAAGAAACACTACCACCCTTAGGAGTTTCTCTATTCAGTCTTTTCTGTGTGGTTTTATTATGTGGCATGCAGAAATTTGCTGGGATCTCAACTGCCAGAGATACATTATGCTGGTAATAAAAATGCACCTCTAATGTTTAAGTGCAGGATGGGTACTTGACATTTTATGGCATAATTATCTGCTTTAAAAAGGCTGTGCTTTTCTACTGCACAGGTAATCATGGTTCATTGCTGAATTCTAGCTAGTAATAAAACTAACACTTTGGGTGCTACAAGAGATTACACAAAAGCATGGTTGACCATTGTACAGGTAGCCCTCGACTTATAGCCATTTGTTTAGTGACTGTACAAAGTTCCAATGGCACTAAAAAAGTGACCTTCAACCAGTCCCTGAACATCCCCAAGGTCATGTGATCAAAACTGGCAACCGGCATGTATTTACAACGGTTGCAGCATCCCGACTTTATATGATCACAATTTGTATCCTTCCCAGCTGGCTTCTGACAAGCAAAGTCAATGGAGGAAGCTGGATTCACTTAATGACTGCATGATTCACTTAACAGCTGCTAGGATTCACTTAACAATAATGGAAGGTCATAAAATTGGGTGCAACTCATGTAACAACCACCTTACTTAGCAACAGAAATTTTGGTCCCAACTGTGGTTATAAGGCAAGGACTATCTATACGCATGGGTTTGGTTGCTAAATAACAGATATTTGTACATATGCAGAAGTAATCCACCATTCCAATGTTATCCTTATCCCAGTTAAAACAGGAGGAACACTGCCATTTGTACACCAGTACCAACAGGGCTGATCTGGATCAGGATAAATCACAAATCTGTCTGAGTGAAAACAATCTGGTGACAATGAAGAGGTTCAGGATGTGTAACAATCTCAGGAACAACTATCAGTAAGAAGAGAGATTCCAGCTCTGTCTGGAAAGTGCCTGACTCAAAAGAGAAATAATCTGAAACGCCTCTAAATCTACAACAGCAAAGACACATGGAGAGTCAGACAGAGATTCAGAATCCAGTGCAGGGCATGGGGGAAAAAGAGGAAAGATTCTGAACTTTTTCTAATATGTTTCCAGTGGAGCAGAAGAGCAACAACATTAATCAACATTAAGCAAGACGTATTTCTGGGAGAAGCAGATTGACTCAATGGTATAAATCATCATGCTTTCCCCTAGTAACATTCTGCTATTTGATTTCCTTGGTACATGGAATCTTGGACTGCTCTATGACCAACAACCCCTAATTTATATTTTGGCAATGTTCATGACATTTACCAGCTTGATTTCTAGCAGTTTACAAATGACTTTTCTGCTGATTCTGCTGATTCTGCTATCTGACGGCAACCTTTAGTTAAAAAGGACCATCTGCCTCCTGTAGTTTCTGCCAATGCTTCAGGTCTCATTGTTTAAACAGTGCTGTCTGACAGGACCCAGGAAGCAGGGCCTTCCCAGAGAGCCCTAAAGCCACTACCTCAATCTCATCTAAGCAAACTTTAAAAACCTGCTGCTTCCTCCAGGCCAGGGGTTGGATGTGTGGTGCGCCTTTTCTGGGAAAGTTTTGTACTCAGGTGTTGAGTTTTGTTGTTGTTTCCGGACATGTATTGTTCTTGGGTTTTTTTATATCATTCCAACATTCCTTTTATTATTGTACACCACCAGAGCTTTTTTTTTTAAACAAGTTTTATTGTTTTTTTCATTTTACAAACAGGTGCTTAAGAAACAACGTGGTGGAAGGGCAATCAATTGTCTACAAAACAAAGTCATATTCATAATGTTCAAATTAAGTCATTAAAAACCTCCTCTCTTTTCCCTCTAATGACATATTATATTCAAATTGATATAGTACAATACAACTAAATCAATCATAGCAATCCTCAATAATCTTTCATCTAAATAAATCTACAAATCTGAATCCTGTATTGAGTTTACCTATTTCACTTACTATGTTCCATATTTCTAATCTAAATACCTAGTTAACACTTCGGGGGTCTCCCCATAACCTTTTTCCTTAACATATTCACTAAGCATTTATTAATATCATTTCTTCCTTTTTCTTATTCCTCTTCCATTACAAATGACTATCAATTCTAATAAGAAAAGAAACTATTAATTCAAATCAGAAAGGAAAAAAAAGAAAAGAAAAAGAAACAGAGACAAAAGAAAAGAAAAGAAAAGAGAAAAAATGCCTTTCTATTTCTATTATTCTTTATAATCTAACAATCAGTCCCTCAATATCTATATCAAATTTCTTTAACGTCCTCCCAAAATTACTGTATCCAAAACATATTAATACATAGACAAAACAAGTTATTATTAAGTTCAAACCTTAATTAGTTTTTTATTCAATCTAACCTCTTATTTAACTGTTTTAAGCCATAAATCAATCCATATCTAATAAGCCTTTTGAACCCATTACCTAAAACCTTAAGTCCCATTCTTAAATCTTATTCTGGCTTTCCTTTTTTGCCAAACCGGTTTCCATAACAAGGCCTCTATATCAATGAACAAGTCACTCTTTATGCCTTGTAGAATCCTTTGAATCAAACAGAAACATCCTCTTTTCTGTTTTAGACACCTAGCTCCTTTGTAAGTAAGTAGTCCCTTGTTGTTTTGAAAAGTCAAATCTCCACATTTGAAACTGTTGAATAGCCGGCTCAGTTATGTCCAACTTTGTAGATGATAGTTGTTTATCCAGGCTACCATAGTTCTCAGCTCGTTGTATTTGTCTGTCCATTTCTATTGGTTTTAAGATTGTAAGTGGATTACCTGCAATCCTTTTTGATTCCTCAGAGATCTCATCCGCATGCATATGAAATAGGATGAAATCTTCTTTACCTTTAGTTAGTCCCGCTTCTGTTGTTTTTTGGTCTCTAGAGTGCTCAGATAAGGTCTGGGAGTCAATTTGTTGATTCAAAGCAGACTTTCTGTTTTTTATTTCCATAGTAAATTCTTTTATTTGCAAACGTATTTCATCAGTAGCTTTGTAAAGTTTTTCCAGTATAAGTTTATAGTCAAGTTGAACCAAGGGTTACTCCATTTCAACAATAATTAGAAACAGTCTGTATCATTTAGTAGAGGCTATGTTCAGAAAACATTTAATCATTGTCCACCCCCACTGTTAATTTTCTTTGTATTTTTCCTTTTGTGGTAATCTGAAAGTCAAGGTCAATCTGAGTGCTCAGAAAAAAGGGAAAGTTGCAATTTTAACTTTTTCCACAAGGTGTCCTCAGTACAATGTAAAATCTTCTCCCATAGACCAGGAATCTCATAAACAAGATCAGGAAACACAGAGAAAAAAAAGAATTCAAGTCCAATAGCAGATTCAATAAAAGGTTTTCCAAGACCCCAAAGTGAAAAAAAAGAATAAAAATAGAGATTAAAAAAAAGTCACTTTAAGTTAATTCAATCCATAAGCTTCTTTTTCCCACACTCACCAACGCCGCCTTCTCAGAGCAGGGAAATAATTTCAAAAGTGCTTTTTACAGGCACAAAAAAAAAAAAAAAAGAAAACCAAGAGAGGGAAGGTAAAAAGTCTCACCCGGCTCCACCACGGTGGTTCCTGTACTTAGATGTTCTTCTGACTTCTGGTTTCAGCAGCTAGGTGAACGGCCATTTTACCGGCTGTTCTTTCCACCGTCGGCCCAAAGGAGCAATCTCGGTCCTTGGAAGAAGCTGCCGCTCTCCCAAGGACGACGAGGACCTCCTCACCAGTAGCCACCCCTCCAAGGTGGCTTTTCGACCCGATTAAGGGTCTACCGGCAGCGGAGAATCAGCTGGCGAAGAGAACAGTCTCCTTGCGCAGCTGCGAGCGCCGCTATCCGGAACCGGAAATGACCACCAGAGCTTTTATGGAGTTGGATGGCCTTAGACAGGGAGGGGGAAGACAGAAAGAAAGTGATTTTTTCAAAGGGCTGCCTAAGAGGAAAGGCCTCTTTGCGCCGGGGCTGCTCGGAGCCAGGAACCGGGAAGCCCTGATTTGCTGCTGCTGCTGCTGCTTCATAGAAACGCCAGGACTTTCTGCCCGTTTCCTTGGTTGGAGTTATTTCCTTTTCCGCGTCCTTGCGTGTGTGTGGGTGCATGTGGGTCGCGTGTGGGTACGTGTGGGTCGCGGCATTAGGAAGGTTGAGAACCACTGGAAACAGTGCTGTCTGACAGGACCCAGGAAGCAGGGCCTTCCCAGAGAGCCCTAAAGCCACTACCTCAATCTCATCTAAGCAAACTTTAAAAACCTGCTGCTTCCTCCAGGCCAGGGGTTGGATGTGTGGTGGGCCTTTTCTGGGAAAGTTTTGTACTCAGGTGTTGAGTTTTGTTGTTGTTTCCAGACATGTATTGTTCTTGGTTTTTTTAATATCATTCCAACATTCCTTTTATTATTGTACACCACCAGAGCTTTTATGGAGTTGGATGGCCTTAGACATTTGACGAATAAATGAATAAATTATGGGCAGGAAAGAACGGTGATATGGAGAAAAAGTGAATTCCCTTTTCCTTTACATGATAGTCTTCATCTGGGTTTCCCAACACTGCAACTATTACTAACAAGCCAAAAACAAGCATTTGGGGGCCAGCTGGTTATTTACAAAGCATCTGCAGGCTATGGTTAAAAATAGTCAAGATGGTACAGTCGAAGCTCTACCTGCTTTTATGTGCAATGCACGTTAAAAAAATTGCTGAAGCTCTGATCACACCATTGTGGTCACCACCATGTTTTTGACTACATCCTGCAGATGTCCTTGGTTGCTCAGATTTGAGTCTCCTTTCCCCAGCTTAATCCTTTCCAGGTATATGGAACTATAACTCCCAAAATCCCATTCTGGTGTAGTTCAACACCAGAAAGATTGCTATAATTTCTTTTCTTGCCTCTTGTCAACCAGACTAATTATAAACTTATCCACTGGCAAATCAGCAATGTACAGATTGTTTAAATGAATAAATAAATCCAAACCCTTGAGCAATGGCCTGCCCTTTAATCCTACCCCCTGCTTAAACATATATCTCTGACTTTCCTCATCCAAGATCTACATATACCTCACCCTTCCTTCCCTATTCTGTACCTTCCCCCTTTCCCACAGAGGGATGCTAGGTGCTTTTGAAAGCTCTTCCCCCAATGCAAGTCAACAGGTGTTGCTTTTCCCTAGCATGGAAATGTAGTTATGGAAATGGGGTGGGAAGTGAGTTGTTCCAGATGCATTTTCTGGCTATCGTTCATGCACTGTACAGTACACATCACATCTGCCAGGAAAACTAATACAATGTCCTCAGCACTTCAGCAATTGGAACCAAGTGCAGGATGGGATGTCAACAAGACTGCTGAGTCTAAGGATCATTTCCCCCAATTTCCACTCCCTCCCGAAGCCTAATATTTAATTTATCCACCATTGTCTTTGTCAACTTTTGCCGCAATTGTTTGCTGTACCCACCCATCCCTTTTACCAACATACCATTTCTTGCCTAGGCCATATACTCACCCTGGGACTACTGAGGGGACTAGAAGATAAGCCAGTGGAGGCACCACTTACAGATCGAGACCTGTGGGGGTGGAGGGTAAAGACATATATGAGGATTAGTGCTGTCTTGGAAGGAAGAAGGTGGTGAAACAGAGAAGAATATGGGATACGTGTGAAACTTTGGTCTAAAATAGCATTATGAAAAGTTTTCAGCCTCCCCAATCAAAGATACCCTAAAGAAATGAATAAGCATAAGAATCTTTGGACATTACCAGCAAAGAACAGCAAAGAATTTCAGAATATATATCCTGAAATTCTTCGCTGTTCGCTACTAGTGATCATTGCTGTTCTTGCTACACAATATATATACTTAACACACAACACACAACACACGTTTCATTTTATATAGAGTAGGTCTGCATTTTGGATACATTATGCCAAGACCTAGCTCTCTGAAGAAGTCACTGATGCTAGGAAAGATGGAAGAAAAGAGAAAAGACAACCAGCAGGAAGGTGGATGGACTCAGTAACAATGGTGATGGAAGCCCCAATGGAAGACTTGAAGGTTGGGACAGACTGTCCTGGAGAAAAATCTGTCTATGTGGTTACTAAGAATAAAAAATGATTTGATGGGACATTATCAAGCAATCAAAATCTGCACAGTAAGAAACTATCAAAATATGCCAGTGATTTAGACTAGACGAGGAATCAGAAAAAGTAGTGAAAGAAAGCGGTGACAAACTACAGATAGTCCTCGACTTACGACCGTTCATTTAACGACCAAAGTTACAACGGCATTGAAAAAGCGACATGACCATTTTTCATACTTTGCAGCATCCCCATGGTCACGGGATCAAAATTCAGACGCTTGGCAACTGACTCATATTTATGACGGTTGCAGTGCCCCAGGATCATGTGATCACCCTTTGCAACAGAAATGGGGGCGCTCAATTGTGGTCGTAAGTCGAGGACTACTTTCCATATTCCAATAGAAGAGATTTATATATAGCTCAGGGCTGAACTGTGGAATCTTAAGTGCTCTCTGAGGTTGATTGTTGTTTGCAGATGTTTTATGACTTCACTAAGTGACATCATCAAGCAAACTACCAGACAGCACCAAAGACCTCATACTTCCATATTGTTGCCATGGAAGCAACATAAATAAAACCAGGAAGTGATGGCAATATCTGGCAGGTTCCCCCAAAGCTAAATAGAATCGAACGTGATTGGTACTTAGATGGAAGACACCAGAAAATCCTAAAGCTGCAAGCTAATCTGAAAAGCTGAAGAAAAATCCCAGAAGATGACAGTGGTGGTGGTGGGTTTCCATACTGTTGCCAAAAATGCTACATGGATATGTCCCTGAGGTTATCAAGCACTGACTTTGATTTTGGGAACTCTTTACCTTAAAGGTACATTATCATTCCTAGAACAGCTTTAGAGATTAGCCAACCCTTAAAATGTTTGCAAGTTCCATTTTCAGTGGCCAGGAAGCACACTGGAAAGACAACAGAATCTCCAAATGCCAGATTTGAAGATATTTTCCCCTCTTTCACGCACATACTTAGTTGGACACAAGCTCACCTCTGACTATGTTGTGCCATCTCTATGGCCCGTCGGGCTGGGACTGGAGAACCACCATCTGTGACGCTCAAGACTTCCATGGACTTCCGCTCAGGTCGGCGTTTGCCATGTCGGTTCAGCATAGGGGAGTCAACGCGCTTCCGAGGAGGGTCTGAAACATAGAAAGGAGATGGATGCAATAAGGCCTTCCCTTCCGGGTGAACTTTGGAGGCTGGTGTTTATGTAGGAGACATTCCACACTCAGAATAATAAATCCTTTGAACCTAATGCCCATCCACCACATCCTGGACAAAAACTATTTCAACTTCTCCCCTCAGTATGCCACTGTAGGGCGTTGCATGCCAAAACAACTAGACACAAAGAGTTTTTTCCCCCCATGCCATCACTCTGCTGAACACCTAACTCCCACAGCACTGTCTCATGCCTAAGGGTATCTAACCATGTAGTAGGACTGTATTACTATTATCCTTCTCATCTTTCCTATTACCTGCTTCTATTGGCATCTTATGACTATCACTTTGTTGGTTGTATCTTATATTTTATGATTGTATCTTATGATTTATGACTCTGTTGCTTGTATGCATATCTATTTATCACCATTTTTCACACTTATGTCCGCTGCAGCATCCCCATGGTCACATGATTTACATTTGGTTGCTTGACAACTGGTTCATATTTTATGTCGGTTGTGGCGTCCTGGAGTCATACAATTATCTTTTGTGACCTTCTGACAAGCAAAGTCAACGGGGAAGCCAGAGTCACTTAACAACCATGTTACTAACTTAACCACTGCAGGGATTCACTGAACAAATGTGGTAAGGAAAATCATAAAATTGGGCAAAACTCACTTAACAAACTTTTCACTTAGCAACATAAATTCTGGGCTCCATTGTGGTCGTAAGTCAAGGACTACCTGTAATTTGGCTGCCTGTTTGGTTCACGCTCACACACTTCCCCAAGTGTGCCACAGGAGAGGGAACTAGCTCCAAATGGCCCACCCATTTATCCAGCCATGGATGCACTACCATTGTTTTGAAAGAGCAAGAGAAGAGAATTTGGGAATGAGGATGAGATACTAGGAGTCTGGAAATGTTGAATTTGGAGACTGAGTTCATGGTGGTTTTATCTGTGCCTGTGAATCAATCTAGATGGTGTTGCACGGGTGCAGGGGCAGCTTCTCCTAATTGATTCAAAAATCCAAATTAAATCTACCCATTTCAAACATGCTAACTGGATCCATTTTCACAAATGGTAATCACATGACCCCAGCACAGGGCCACTGTTGTAAACACATGCAGGTTGGTCAAGTGTCTGAATTTTGATCACATGACTCTGGGGATGCTGCAACAATTTTAAGTGCAAGGACCGTGTCAGCTGCCTATCTTCATCTTCTTTGAAGCTCCTTAGCGACTGCCATAACCAGAGGGGAGGGGGGCACGTGGGAGGGGAAGAGTGCTGGAGGTGTGAAAGAATCTTGTGGGAAATAGGGGAGTATGGACACTGACAGGAACCAAAGGTGCTAAACCAAGTCATCTTTCCTGCCTTCAAGAACACCAGCCCTGGGAAAGGAATGTGCTGTGGCTCCTGGAGGCACCACATTCCCAAAACATTGGAACAAGACCTGATTGAACTGCTCTCCCAGGGGGGAGGGTTTTGGACATTGGGGATTGCTTTCAATATATGATTTTCAAGACGTTTTTCTTCAGAGCTCGCCTCACTCACACTGCACTCAACATGTCTAGTAAAAGTACCTTTAGCACCTATGTAGTCAAGGGTCATTCTTTCCTAGGGAGCAAGTTGGGGGCCAGTCTGACAGACAGGGTTGTAAGTCACTTTTTTCAGTGCTACTGTAGCTTTGAACAGTCACTAAACAAATGGTTGTAAGTCAAAGATTACCTTTATAGGGGCAGAAGACGTCTACAAACAGCAGAGCTTTAACCAGAGGTATGTTGACGTGTATTTACTTGCTGGTCTCATATTTCTTGTTTCCTCCATATCAGTCGGATGAAATATTGAGGGAAGAAGAACCTTAGAAATGCTTGCCATCCCTTTCAGTGTTTCTCAACCTTGGCCACTTGAAGACAGGTGGACTTCAACTCCCAGAGTTCCTCAGTCAGCCATGCTGGCTGGGGAATTCTGGAAGTTGAAGTCCACCTGTCTTGAAGTGGCCAGGGTTGAGAAACACTGTCTTGAGTGATCAGCAGTCATCACCACCACTGCTCCACTCTTTTTCTGGTCCTGATGAAATGCTTGGAGAAAGGTTTCCCCAAAATCTCACCAACATCATTGCGTGGAGGCAGGTCCTCGTCCTCACAGCTGGGATATCTCTCTTTGCGGTCAAGTAGAAGGTAATAAATCATTTTCTCCTGATTTTCTCTGAAATGGAGATTGGAAAAATGAGGGCGTATGCTTAGAATAAAAATGGGTTTATCGCCTGACTATAGAAAAGATACCAGTCATTGCAACATTTGTACATGTTTCCTAACTAGCCTCTTCTCCCATCTTTCCCGGCTTCTATCCATATTTCTATCACAAACCAAACCTCAATTCTATTTCCTCCCTCATCCAACACCTTCAGACAACTTATAACACATCCATCTGAATTGCACTCTGCAAGTTTTTTCAATCATGGGAACTACAATGGTGAGATGATTATCCCAGCTTCTCTACAGAAGCAGAGTTCCTCCAATAAGAGTTCAAATCACCTTTTTAAAATGCCACAAAAAGGACTTAGAACAATGCATCTCCTCAGCACAAGGAGCAAAATTTAAGGTAACAGGTCCTCACCCTTCGTTCTGCAGCTCTTGCTTTAGCTTGTTCTTATCACGGAAACAGCCCAACGAGTGCATGCTATCCAACACGTCAGGGTCCAGCTCACTGACTGACTGAATCCTTCGGATTGCTACCTTCCGAGGGATCGGTTGTTCTGGTTCCGGTTCATTCTTCCCTCCTCTGGAAGAAGAAGTAGTGTGTAAATCAGATGAAGGAAGATGCTGCCCCATTAAAATCTTGAGGAATGGGATAAGAGAATGAAGACCTTTGGCAAAAGCCATTAGCAAAAATGACTTGTTTTCCGGGGTTCACAGTGGAAGTGGAAACAGTGTTATAAATTGGTAGATTTCTCAACATAAAGTTCATAAAGATTTGGAAATAAGATATATCTTTGCCATCTACCCAGTCTTACAACTAACCAACCCACCAGAGCAGAAAGGCAGGGCGTGTTATGGGTTCCAACTATTAAGGAAGTCCATCTGGTGGGACCTAGGAAAAGGGCCTTCTCTGTGGTGGCTTCCTCCCTTTGGAACATTATTTCCCCAGAAATAGGATTGGTCCCCACCGTGTTTCTTTTCTACAAGGCCTTGAAGACATAGTTCTATCATTTGGAGGCAATCAAGTAGCTTGTTTGATTCTATTTTTGCCACGGGGTGGGGTTAAATTGAGAATTTTAAATGTTGTGCACACTGCCCAAAGTCACTGTGTGTGAATTGGGCAGCTACTGTATATAAATTTGTTTAATAAATAGATGTAAATAGGTTTGGTTTACCGATTTAGCCCCAATATTTGTAACTTGCTTTTCTGTAAAAATAATCCAAATCTACATATAGAAGTAGCAGCAAGGTAAGAAACCTTTAACTATTTTAAGCATTAATTATTTTAACTCTTCCGGGTTTGAGGCTTAACTGGTCATGTAAGACAGGGGTCTGCAACCTTGACAACTTTAAGGCTTGTGGACTTTAGCTCCCAGAATTCCTCAGCCAGCATAGCTTAAAGTTGTCAAGGTTGCAGACTCCTGATGTAAGAGACTGGAATCAGAAGCCCAGGCTCTCTGCTTCTGAATTACATTCTTCCCAAGAGATATGTTTTCATGGAAAAATTGAGTAACATCTATGCAGCACAGCAAGGTTGCCAAAGATTGTGCTTGTGGGACCATGTCTGCACCCTTGGTACTTTTTTTTTACAACGGTTAATAACTATATGGATCATAACAGTCTATATATTGTTTAGTAGACTTTTTGTGAACACATAATCTATTGAAAACCCATTTTTTAAATTCTATAATAATGTTTTAGAATTGTTAGGGCTCACATATAGCTAAACAAATATACATTAACTGCAGGTAGTCCTTGACCTATGACAACAGAGGGGCCCCAAATTTCTATTACTAACAAGACAGTTGTTAAGTGAGTCGTGCCCCATTTTACGACCCTTTTTGCCACGGTTCTTAAGGGAATCACTGACTTTGCTTGTCAGAAGCTCCCTAGGAAGTTGCAAATGACAATCCCAGGATCCTAAGACACTGCAACCCTTGTAAATATGCATGCTGGTTGCCAAGTGCCCGAATTTTGTTTGTGTGACTGTGGAGAGCTGCAACAGTTGTAAATGTGAGAACTGGTCATAAGTCACTTTTTTCAGCGCCACTGTATCTTTGAACTGTCACTGAATAAATGGTTGTAAGTCAAGGACTACCTGTATTAACTTTTAGGTTTATTAAAGCTTTTTGCTCTCTTAGATAGAAAGCTAAATTGAAAGAACAGTTTAAGGCGCAACCTCAAAAACCAAGGATAACATTTTCTAGTAAACAAGAGCTCTGGATATTCCTCTCTGTTGATCATGCTAGCTGAGGTTGTTGACTTCTGAAGAGCCACAGTGGGGCTCACCCCTTTCTAGACAACG